GCAGCAGCAACAGCAACCTGGATTTGTTGGTTACCCTTTGCAAGCGGCTATTCTGTTTACCTATATCTTGCAGGAAGACTTTGTATCAGGCCCTCGCTTCTCTGGTGCATGCATTGGGAGCTGCTCGTGTGCTGCAGCTGCAGCCCTATCTGCTGCACCACCTGCTGTCACAGCTGCAGAACAGGTCTCTGCGTTCGGCTGCTATGCTGGCTCTGCGTGCCCTGTGTGAAGACCTCAGCAAGCAAGACAGACAGCAGCAGCAGCAGCAGCAGCGACGGCAGCAGCAACAACAGCAGCAGAAGCAAAAGGGAAAAGGGAGCACCCAGACGGCCCACCGCGAACGCATACAGCAGCTCTGTCTTTTCCCCTCGACAAGCCTTCGGACCTTCTTGCTGGGCCCCCTACAGCACGCTCTGACGACAAGCAGCAGCAGCAACTGCTGCAGTGAAACAGGCCTGCTACAGCAGCAGCAACACCAAGAGGAACAGCAGCAGCAAGGGCCTCGGGAGTACGCGCTGTTGGTGCCCGTTCAGCTGCCAGCAACAGCAGATGCCTCTCCTGGTGAGGCCCTAGACGAGACGATGCTACCGTTCCTGCTGCGGCTGGAGCCTTCTGCAGCAGCCCCGCTGCTGCTGTGTCTCCGTGAGCAGCTACCGCTGGAGGCGATCGAAGCCACAGCAGCAAGGACAGCAACAACGGCAACAGCAGCGAGAGCACCGCTGTCAGAGGCAGCGACAGTAGCAACAACGTCAGCAGCAGCAGCAGCAACCGATGAGCGCCTGGATAGCGTTGCAGTGGGTTGCGCTCTGTCTTCTCTTGGGGGCCCTGGGAGGCCCTGGAGCCCCAGTGAGGCGGCGCTGCTGGCAGCAGCGAGAGCTGCGGGGCTCGCGGCATGGGAGGACACAGCGGAGCTTCAGGAGGTAGCGCACGCTTGCTGCAGCAGCAGCTCCAGATGCAGCTGCTGCGGTTATAGGAGTTGCGGGTGTAGGGGCTCGTGCTGCGCTGCAGCTGCCCTAGTAGTTCGCGGCTGCAGCAGCACAGCTACTCCTATTTGCTACAGTGTGTCTGCTGGGCGGCTGCGTCTGGGGCTGAGCAGCGGACAGCGACGGCAGCGCATGAGGCTGCTGGAGGCGTTGACTGTGCATGCGCAATCGACAGCAGCACCAAGATGCCAGGAGCTGCAACTGTTGCTGTTTGCTGCAGGGCAGCAGCTGCGATTGGGATCGGCAGCAGAACGATCCCAGTTTGTTGCGGCTTACGAACGGATACTCCTCAGAGCCCGCAATGCGTTTAGAGTGCAACTCACAGCACAGACAGATGCCTCTATACAGGCGCTTGCACGCAGCGGCTGTTGCTGCTGCAGGCCCCAGCACCAGCAGCAGCACCAGCAGCAGCAGCAGCAGCAGCAACAGCCACAAGTAGCTGCTTGCGGCGGCGCCTTTGGATGCTTTCTGCTGTTTCTACAGCGGCTGCATCGCCGCTGTCTTCTCTCCTGCTACCCGGGGGCGCCCCCAGACAGGGTGTTGGTTTGTTTATCGTTGCTGCGATCCCTACACTCTCTGTGGGGCCTGGGGGCGCTACCCCAGCAGCATAGAAAGAAGTCGACGGCGGTGCAGG